TTAGCTTAGCCTTGCCTTTTCTTTGCGTTACTTTGCTTTACCTTGTCTTGCTCGTCGCTCGTTGTCTCGTCCTGCCACTGCCGGCCTACGTACGCACGCCTCAACAGCCTTGTTACACCCGTCGTTTTGTTTTGCGACTTGATCGCGCTTATGCCATGCCGTGCCATGCCGTGCATGCCCACTGGTCACTGGATCAAGAGCTCAAACGACCGCCCTCTATCCATTATCGGGGACGTTATGGTTCCCGCCAGCCTGGGTCGTTTGGTCGGTTGGTCGGTCGGTCGGGGCAAGGTGGTACACGCGTACTTTTAACGCAGTATAAGATAAAGAAAAATGGTTTTTGACAAGATAAGTCGTCTGAAGCAACTTGGCAACTTTATGAGATCCACTCTCACTCTCGGTCTCGGTTAAACTTGCTGCTGGGAGTGGGGTGCGTACTATGCCTTAGCGATGGGGGACTTGCACGCTGGTAATGGAGAGAGAGAGAGAGAGAAATGGGGCTAATCCAGTACTCCGTAGTGGTGATGGATTGCGTAGCTACGAGGAGGCGAAGATGGCAAACGTCAACGTTTCGCTCTTCGCTCTTGCTTGGCAGGTCCGGGCTTGTTTCGAGTTGATGGCGGCGCATCCACAGAACCGCGTCGCTTTGTATCCACTGTGGGGGCGGCGGCGGTCTCTATATGTCCATTTAACCTCTGGTCGACTGGCTCGTGTGGCGTCGCATGTATATTCGATTCGGCTCGACTTTCTCGAACAATGGCGTGCATGGAGAATTTCTCAAACGCGAACCTCCGGTTCTTTTCTTTCTTTCTGTGAGACTTTCTAAGGGGCTTCCGAGTCCGCGTCATCTCTGACCCGAGCTTTTGGTCGACTCGTGGACGATTTTCTCCTGTGGGGATGTGGTTAGTTGGTTGCTTGTTGATTGGATTGCGAGCTTGGTGGGGTGAAGTGCTCAGAACTCCGTAGGGAGAGGTATGTACGGGTGGCATCTTGGAGTGATTGCTTCGACGGCGAATGCCCAATCACTTTCTGGCCTTGGCCATACGACGACTCTTTGGACCCGGGGGGATAACATATACTCGTAGGGATATATATGGATCTAGACCGTGGAATATCCTCCATGGTCTCGTTTCATCGGCGAAAGAACAAGGCAATGGATCGGGCGATGGTGGGTTGAGGAGTCGAGCAGTCGAGGATAAGTGATATGGCTTGCTTTTTTGGGGCAGTGATATCGTGGTACCACGTATACCCGTGCCCAAGGGAGCCCCCAGGGGAGTCCAAGGAAACCTTGTTGCGGACCTCGACGAGGGGGATCTGCTCATCTTATGAGCTTGTGCCCAGAGTATCCAGTACATATACCGTGTTCAAGTCCGGTGATGCATAGCATACACCTCCATCCCATTCTGGTTTGCTGGTCCATTCCTTCTCCTTCTCCTTCTCGTTCATGCCCTTGGAGCTGGCTTCGTTCTCTTGACTTCGATTAACCAGGCCCAACTGGATTGGCTGGTTGTGCAGATCGTCCTTCTTCGTCTTTTCGTCGGAGTTCTGTCCTTTTCAGGGGCAATTGATGTGTTGATCCTATCCCTTCTCTGCTCTTTTCGTCTTCGATCTTCAGCAGACGCAACAATGGCTGGCTCCACGTCTGCTAACAGCACAACCCCTTCCTCCTCCTCTGGGCATGCTGAACAGAATCCCGAGACGGAAAAGTACCTGCAAGCCCTCAACCATTCGCTCTCCACCAACTATCTGTATGCGCTGGTCGTCCTCACTGCCCTCGTTTTCGCCTACCACAGCGCCATCCGCCTCCACAGGCACACCCGCCATCTCGTATCTCTGGGAGGAAACACTCGATCTCAACGATATTTCTCCTTGGTCAGTCCGACCATTGCCTGGCTCAAAGTCCATTTGGTCTATGCCCCCTTGTTGTATCACAGACGGGCCGAGGAGATCAAATGCGGCTCTCGTTTGATCTTGGGCACGATACCCACGCGGTTCAATACCTTGTTCATCACAAGCATCATCGTGTACAACGTCTTTGCCTGCGTCTATAACATTCCTTGGTCGTCTCCCGAGCTCGAGGTCCTGCCCATCTTGAGAAACAGTAAGTCCTCAGTCGTGTTCGATCCTCTTTGATGGCGACGCCGTGCTGACTGTGACTAGGGACCGGAACCCTTGCCACGGCCAATCTCATCCCCATCTGTGTGCTGGCCACCATCAAGAACCCCTTGATAAATGCTCTGGACATTTCCTATGACTCGTTCAACTTGGAACACCGGTGGCTCGGTCGCTTGAGCATCCTTCAAGGCGTGGCACACACGATCTGCTGGATGATAGCGAAGGTCCAGAAATCAGGTTGGGCCGCCGTCCAAAAATCCTTGACACACTCTTCATTCATCATGACCGGTCTCATCGCCACCGTCGGCTTCGTGGCACTGGGACTGCATTCCTCAAAAGTCTTCAGATCCCTGGCATATGAATTCTTCTTGCACAGCCATATCCTCCTTGTAGCCATGACCTTTGGCGGGCTGTGGGTCCACTTGGAGGGTCTGCCCCAACAGCGCTTCCTGATGGCCGCCATCATCATCTGGGTTGGCTGCCGTTTGTGGAGACTGTGCACTCTGATCTACCGGAGCTGCGGACGTGGCGGTACCTATGCCACCATTGAACCACTCCCACGCGGCTCTGTGAGAGTCTCCGTCACCTGTGTTCGACCGTGGAAAGTCCGGCCCGGCCAGACTCTGTACCTGAGCATTCCATCCATTGGCTGGTTGACTCTCCACCCCTTCTCCGTTGCATGGGCCGAATCTGATAAGGAGACGAGCCTGAGCCGTTGGGACAGCACGAACAGCAAGCACTCCGAATACTCGGACAAGACACGACTGGTGGGCACTGTCCGCGCCGGTAAAGAGGGAGCTCCGGAGCCGCGCAGTCGCACGATCGACGTCATCATCAAGCGGAAAACCGGCTTCACTTCGACCCTGCTGACTCGAGCCCACCAAGGGGGCGGCAGACTCGTGCTCCCTGCCTTTGTGGAAGGTCCCTACGGCCATGAGACCAGTCTCGCGAGTTTTGGAACCTTACTTCTCTTCGCCACCGGAGTCGGCATCACTCACCACATGATGTACATTCGCTCGCTGGTGCAGGGATATACCGATGGCACCGTCGCCACTCAGCACATTACCCTCGTCTGGGTCGTGCCCAATTGCGAGTGTCTGGACTGGGTGCGCGAATGGATGCACGAAATCCTCAACATGGAGAATCGCCGCGACGTGCTCACGGTCGTGATCCACGTCACCCGTGCGAGTATGAACCAGGACGTCAGGAGCCCCAGCTCCAGGGTGAAGATGGTGAGAGGTCGTCCGAATGTGATGAGTATCGTGCAGCGAGCGGCCGACGATCGAGTTGGGTGTTTGGGCGTCAGCGTCTGCGGGTCGGGAGGTCTCGCGGACGAGGTTCGTGCCGCAACTCGGGTGGTGATTGGGCAGGGGGTGAATGCTTCGTTGATGGAGGAAGGGTTTGGATGGTGAACGCAGCGGTGGAAGGGATACTTAGATGGTGTTGGGTTTTGGTCGCAGTGTTGACAGTCCGAAAGTAAAGTCAATGGGGAAAAGACCACGAGGCTAGCCCTCCATTCAGAACGGGCACAACACAGAGCACCCACCTCTTTGTGGGCAGTCTACCCCTAGCTACCGCCATCATTTCGCAAGCCATGGAAATATAGAAGGGAGCTTGGGAGAATAGAAAGTATATAGATCAAGCACGGCGTATCAAGGACTCGAGCCAATGAACGTGGGACGTGGGGGAATCATGATGTACAAGTACAGCCGAGCCAGTGACGCCTGTTCAGGGAAGCGGTTCAAGGGCGCCGCTTTTAGCAGCACCAATACAGTACTGAAAAATACAAAGAACCATGATGCCGATATCGGGTGCCCTCGAGTCATACGGGTGGGTGACGGGGATAAGTAGAGGTATTGGAGGTTGAATTGACATGACTGACCCTCCGCGCGGAAGGCTTGGCGCCAAGATAAAACGTCGTCATTTTTGATTGGCTAGGACTCTTCCCACCTCAGACGCCCCTTTTGCCTGCATCCCCCCCAGCGTCCCCTAGGCAATTGATCTTATTTTTCTTTTTTAACAAGATTAGTACTGTAGGATAGCTAAAGAGCGGTTCAAGACTCTCAGGAAGGCGATAAGCCACGGGTATAGCAGACCAGACAAAAATGAGAGAAGCATGTTGCCAAAGACTCGGTCAGGCTCCAAGTAGCGCTTCGACTGTGCCTTGACCTGTCTGGCCACCCAGGCCACCCTCACCGCCAGAACAATGTCTCAAAATAAACTTTGAAAAGTGCCGATCATGATCCACATCCCGGAGAGCCCCGGAGGGGATGAAACGCCGCATTCCGTGGTGACATTACTAGCACTAGTAGGCACCAGGTACTTCGTACATACTTCGACGTCCGTTGACTTTGATTCACCACCACCACCACGACGGGAGACTGATTGACCGTTGAATTAATGTGCTTCGAGGCCATCCTTCTTCAATAAGGATACCAAGATGGGATCCTTTCCATACAAGATGTCATCAACCCTTTCGGAAAGAGAGAATTCAATACTCGTGACGAGAGAGGAGAGTAGTTACGCATTTGCGTCGTAGAACCAATTATCAAAACCCTCAGTCACGACCAAACAACGCCCAAATCACGCCGAAATCACCCCGTCGTTGGCCTGTCCTGTGTAATCCCGATAAATCCTCCAAGTGATAACTGAAGCTGTTGCATATCTCCTTCACCTGCCCGCGCCCGACAATCACCCCAGAAAAGGAAAATACATTCTGATGTCATCTCATGTCAAGTTGGAACTTCTTACTTGTTCTTGTCGTCAATCTCTCATAGTCGTGTTTCCTTCATAGTCGTGTTTCCTTCATAAGTCAACGCCTCCGTCTCCGAGCTTTGGTAGAGGCTGGGTATCCAAATTCATACGTGCACGCTCATTCAGGATGCTTAGATCTCCTCAACATGTGCCTGGGCCTGTTGCGGTGGAAAGGCCAACACCTGCAACTGTTGATCTGACTCCAGCTCCTCCACAAAGTCGTCCTTGTTCGGCAGCAATTGAACAAAAAGGCGATTCACAGGGGCAGCGTCGTAGCCTGCAGCCAGATTCATCTCCTCGTCTGCTAATCTTCCACGGAGAGCAATGTGCTGTCCCGTCCACGACGTGAGACGTGGGGGACCGGCGACGATTCTCGTGATCAGAATCAAGTACATACACGGCCCCGTGACGATGAACACGTACGCTGCCGCCACGTAGCATGCTGTACATGCAGAGTCGCGAGATCCTGTGAAATACGGGTAGCTGAGCGTGTCGCTGGATGTGATGGTTGACTGCTTTTCCACTCCGAATGGCTGGCCTCGCGCGTGGCCCAGCGCCGGCGCGCCCGTGATATTGACGGCGTCGTTCGCCCACCCGGCCATAACTGCGCGAGCAAAGATGCTGATGCCTTCCACCGGTGTCGACCCCCTTTTGTCAATCACACTGTGTACCCCGTCAAGGTACAACAGCAGAGACCCATCCGCATATTCCGTTTCGAATGGGACATTAATATCACGCGTCGATAGCAGTCGAATCGACCCCGGTTCGTCCATAATGGTTGCGCATGATCGCTTGCGCACGATACGTGTCACCTCGGCCGTGGCATAGGTGAAAGTGTACTCGACTCGATCAAAAACTTCGTACTGAGTGGAGTTATCACAAGCTGATGAAGAAATGGCACAATCCCAGCCTGTAAACATTGTCGTCCACTGCATCGCGATGGACCCGGGTCCTTGGATGTTGTAGTCCACGACAGCACCGAAATTAAAGAGACTCGGCACCCAGCTTCCTTTCAAATCTGACACAGTTCGTTGACGCTGCCATCCTGCATGGTCTGCAGACATGTAGAACGTGCCGGCTGGCTTGACCCGGGTTCCGACCATGACCACTTCGCGGGTGACCAAGATACCCTGGTCGAGCTCACTGGAGATGCCAGAACAATTCGCCATACCGACCATGACGATTTGTTCTGGTCCGTCCATGACATCGTCTCGGCCTAGATGACAGAATGCCTGATTGTGGAGGCCTCCCGGAGTATCGACCAGTAGTGGGGTGGCACCAGATTCATCTAATCCCTTGGACGAAGGAATAGACAGAGCCACTCGACTCTGCGGCCAACTTTCAACGACTGAGAGAGGGACGCGGAAGACGGTGAACTTGTATCCGATGGTCGCGATCGGAGCCAATGCTGCAAAGAAGTAGCTGACCATATACAACACCCGGAACCCACGCCATCCCACCAGAACGGGTGCGTGTGATAGCGAGTTTAGGTACCGTCCGTAGTCCAGTCCACCAGGTCCGAGCGCGCGTTGGGTGCATTCCAAGTTGAAGAGATGAGTGCAAGCTCTTGAGAGACCGTAGATGGTGCAAGAGACTCCCACGCCCAGCACTGCCAGCCAGGACTGTACCGAGAAGGAAGATCCGACGCTGAACTGCCGCGCTTTCCATGAACTGGTACGCAGAGTCGACGGATTTCCAGCCAGACAATTTACCCCTCCAAATAAAAGGATTGTTCCACCCACAAACAGTGCCAGGAGGGATAACATTTGCAACCTTTGCAGCCTCGTGAAGAAATTCATTCTGGTGGAACAGGTGTCAACGTTCGTCAGAAAGGGGGAATTGCTGTGATGAGGAAGATCGAAGGTGATGGAAATGGTTTTCCATGCTTTTCATCCCCATATATAGTAGCTGCCTGTGCCCCTCTCATCTTCACACTCGTTAAGTGTCTGTTCACAGCCTCCATTGGTGTATTTCGAAGCCCGCGCCTCGCGAGTCTACGCATGACTGTGGACCAACATGCATGAGACTCCCTGATCTCTTCTCTCGTCGCCCAATCCAGCCCCTTGTATTGGGGTGTTCGTGCCCAAGCCACTGAACTCGTGGGGGAGATATCTTCGAGTGTCCCAGGTACGACGGTAACGGAAAATGGATTGTGGCAGGGGGGAACGGCGCTAAGCCTCTATAAGTTAGGTCACGGAGAATTTGCTGCGTTCTTCCGTGCATAATCGTCCCCTGAGTGACGTAATCCAATGATGTGCAACTGGGGTGACTGGTGCAACGGGCCAATATTACTTTTACATTTCATAAAATACCAGATCCCTGTCACATTCGAGACGCGTTTGTCTCAGTATTGACTTTTACTCTTGGGCAGATGACTAGTACTACCCAGGAGCTAGTATACTAGCGTGGTCTCGTAAAAATAGCTACTCGCCGACCTTGCCGATTACATGTTCTGGTGCCCATATCGAGTCCTTCTCTCGATGCCCAGCGCGCTATTTTAGTGGGATGGCACCTGTGAAGATTCGTAACGGAAAACAGTCATTTGGTTTCACTTCTCCCATTCTTACACCAAACCATATATTCCACGTATCTTACACAGCACTATTTCCGAGTTACCTTGGAAGAAAGTCTATGATTAAGATCCTTGATCCACGCGCTAGATTGACCTGCTGGCATGGCATCGAGCAGGTTGTTCCATTCCGACTTCGGCGGTGAAAATCCATACATTATGCCGAGATGATAATACTATACAAGAAACTGGCGATCATAACAGTTTCCCTGGACGCATCAAGAGACAAAACACTTGCTTGATCTTGACAAATCGACATTAAAGGCATGACTATCAGACGCGTGGACAGAGAGTCGCAGAACTATCTCGACGATGATTTTACAGAATGGCTCAACCCTTTACTCGCCAAACAGCATGTGCCCGGTGTATCTGTCGCGGTCGTCAGAGAAGATGGTCGAATAGAGTCTGCCGGCTTTGGGCTCGCGCGACTCCCAGACACGCCGGCGAGGGCAGATACCATCTACCCTATGGCAAGCACGACCAAGGCGTTCACCGCCGCTCTGTTGGGGCTGCTGATTCAAAATGATCGAGACGCCGACAAGAGCGTGCTCGGGGAGAAGGGGTGGAAGACCCCTGTCTCTCGCATCTTGAAGGATGATTTCAAGACAAAGTCCGACTACGTCACGCGGACCGCGACATTGGAAGATATCGCCAGTCATCGCTCGGGCATTCCAGGTCATAACATTCCGTGGGGACCAATACTCGGAAGGTCACTGCGAAACACAACGCGCTGTCTCCGGCACCTGGAGTCGCGGGACGACAGCTTCAGAGCGGTTTGGCAGTACAATAATCTCATGTATGGCGTTCTGGGTAACGTCGTAGAGGAAGTGTCGGGCAGGGAGTTCCTCGACGTTCTGCAGGACCGAATTTTAAAGCCTCTATCCATGAAGCAAACCTGGTATGGCATTGAGCAGTTGGCGAAAGCTGAGGCGGATGGGCAGGTGGATAAGGCATGCATAGCGAGGGGTTACTATTGGAAAAAGGGTGGCTCGGACGACGAGATACACGGTGAGGACACGGGATATTATGTGCCCGAGCCGTATACGAGCATCATTGGCTGTGAGCCGGCCGGTGCACTGGTGTCGACGGTCGACGACTTTGCAAAATGGGTATCGTCCTTGCTCGAATCTGCCCAGCCCCGGGAGGACGACGACCGGACAGATTCTCTCATCAGCAATGCGCTCTGGAAAGAACTTACCACTCCGCGAATTCAGATCGTCCCACAACCTTATCCATCTGAAGTCACGCCGCCAAAACCAAACGACCATAGCACGCCGACAGGGTATGCACTCGGCTGGGCCGTGGACCCGTACATGTACCCGGGTACTCTGATCCTTTCACACGGTGGAGGTCTGCCAGGATTCGCTCTCGGGGTCGTGTTGGTCCCAAACCACAACTTTGGGCTCGTGGTGGCGACAAACGGAGGCATGGCAAACTCGGTTGGCGAAGCCATCGCGAAAGAGTTGATAGGACGCAGACTTGGTGTTTCCAAACAACAACGACGCAACCATATTGAGAAGCAAAAGAAGCAAGAGGATCGATCGGGCATCAGCGACGAGAAATCGGAACGCTCGAACAACATGTGCACGCCAATGTCCGACCACGGCACCCCTTCGTTGCTGATTGAAGGCACCTACCTCAATCCCGCATACCACACCGTTTCTTTGGTCCGGGCGGCTGCTTCAACCTGCCTTGGTGTCAAAGACCCACATCTTGAGGGTGTCAAGATCATCCGGAATGGGGAGAAGGTCCCTGATTCGGTCGGACGTCCTCTCCTCATTACTCCGCTTGGGAAACGCGGTCTCCAATTCCGATTGCTTTTGCATCAGTCAACGAAGCAGCCATATACGAACAAGATCGTGTATGCGCTTGAAACGCTCGTCTCACACGGCGACCTCAGCTACGACCCCGCGCCAGGGTTGCCAAAAGGATACGGTCGTCAAGGAGACGCCAAGTATCCCGGAAAGGCAGAGCCGGTATTCGAGAGCAGCGGTGTCAAGGACCGCGGAGCAGTTGTCGAAATTGTCAAGGGTGACAACGAAAAGGAGCTCTTGGTGGCGGCGCTGGGGCTTAAGACTAAAGTCGACGAGGGTACAGATAATGCTAGGAAGAGCGGGGAAAATGAGGGATTGCTCTATGAAGGCTGGCAGGACGACCTGATATGGTTCTACAAGACCGAAGAACACCAGGGAGCATGACAACATCCATAATGCGGGGGGTGCTCTCTGGCCGTACTTCTAAGCTGAATCCTAGCAGGAGACAAAAGTAGAGTGTCAACTAGAACGGGTTACTCATCTGGGACTTTTACTTGTACCCGATTTTGATCGACATGTGAGACATGAGAACCCCTTATCGCATAACCCCATGATACCAAACGAATTACATCTCCCACTAGTTATCCAGACCACAACTACGGAGCATGTCTCCACGCCTCCTCGTCCGACACAATCCTCCCGTCGAGGACATAGACCTCCTCCCAGCCAATCGTCCAGGCCATGCCCTTGACGTCAAAGAACTTTTCCTCGTCCGGCCGGACCTTTTCGATGAAGAACGGGTCGTCCCGCGACCTTTTGATGCCCTCAACGTTGTCCCGGACGAGGAATTCGGCCACGCCGTCGTACGGCGTCACGTCCAGGGCCTTGAGTTCCGGCCACGCGGCCATTGTGCTTTGTTGGACGGCGGACGAGGTGTGGTACTGCGGCCGTGTGATAAAACTGTCAGTTATGCCACGACAATACCGAAACCGGGGGGTTTCTCTTTGTCGTGTGAGATTTACGGCCCTACCCCAGCGAGTATACCGCCGACATCGAAAGAGATAAAAAAGATAGAGAGAGATAGGTTCGACAAACCTGGGTATATTTCAAAATGCCATACTTCTCCACCAACGGCCTCACCAGCGGTCCGTGGACGTGCGACCAGTAATGGTTGAATTCCTCCTCGGTCAAGTTCGGGTTTCTCTTGAGATACATGGACACGCGGAGGACTTTTTGCTTGGTTGCCATGGTCCTCGACTTTTGTTGTTCTGAATTCTGGGATGGATGTATGGATGGATGAATGGGTTTTTTTTTGTTCTTTTCCACGGCTGGTGAAAGACAATATGTGAGAGAAATGTGGCTGAGGCAGTATTTTGTGTTCTTTATTATACACAGGACTGTGATCCGGGTTGGATATTGGATATACGCAGCCGCAACGAGGCTGGGCGCACCCACTACCCACCACCCACCACATGTGATCGGGCTTTCCCTACTCCCTGGGTCTCCGGGTCCCAGTGGGGTGTAATGCAAAACGCCTGGAAAGGACCCATTGGTTGTTACGCCCGCAGAACGTCCGGTCGAACTATTGGATATGTCATCCCGACCGCAAGACGGTGTTGGTGAACGCCGTGTCGTCCCCCAGCTGCGATCCCATCCGACGTAATGCGGGGAGAACAAGTGGGGGAAATGCTTGCTACATTAGTAATATTACTGCCAAAATCGACCTGTTACAAACTCACCCATCGCTTCTGAGATGGCCAGAATGACATACTGTCGAAATAACTGATGCCTAGATACGAAAATATGACCTTCAATCTTCTTCGAGGTACTTAATCTCATAACACTAGTTGAACCCCCCTTCCCTTGCCGCCTAGACTCATCTAGCAAGTACCCATCTACCCCTCCTGCTCCGCAGCCTCCTTGATCCTCCTGTACGCAGCCTTGACCTCGTCCGTCTCCCCAAAGGCCTGAAACCACTTTGCGATGAGCGGGTGCTTGTCCAGCGTCAACCCGGCAAAGCCGTGCAACCGAATCCACGGCTCGTAGTGGCAGTCGACCGAGGTGTATCCGCCGGGGATGATTGTGGCGCCGTCGGTCTTTTTGAGTTGGCCGTCCAAGATATCGTAGCACCGTAAAGTCTGGGCTTGATAGCGTTCCAGGGCGTCGTCGTTTTTGGTCTTGTTGTGGAATCTTGGACGGAAGGTTTTTTGTCAGTGCGGTGGCCCAAAGCTCCAAGAAAGAGGGATGTATGGATATATATCGAGGGTAGATGGTGGATCGATCATGCTCACCTGAACCAATTACACTGCCCGCTCATCGGCCCCAGCGTCGTCAACAGCAAATACTCCCACTTCTCGATGTCGACGCGGTCCTGTTCCGTGTCGCCCCGCGGCCCGATCTTGTTGTCCCTGTCGTACACCCGGCGGATGTAATTCATCACCGCGCCCGACTCCCACGACACGACGCCCGTGTTGGGGTCTTCCAGGGCGGGCACGCGGCCATTTTCGTTGATCTTGATGAAGGTCGAGCCCTTGACGCCCTTTTCCGGGTCGTCGCCCCCCTCCCACAGCCGGACGGTGTAGGGTACCTGGAGAAATTCTAGGGCGATGGCGATTTTGATCGGGTTGGGGCCGTTGCTGTGGGCGTGGAGAAGGAGAGGTTTGAGAGGTGCCATGGTGTTGTTTCGAGTGGTTCTAGTACTAGTAGTAACAATGGCGGTAGTAGCTGCAGTACTAGTTGTTGATGTTCTTACAAGCCCTTGGAGGATTCGCCTGTTGTCTTGAGAAAGTCCCGATATATACCGATAGTGTTGTGGTAGATATGACCGGATATTGGGAGCCCTCCATAAGTCTGCTTTCAAATACGTACAGCGACCATTGTGAAAGAGGGGGAGAGAGTGCATTCACCAATCCCGATCGCCAAGGAGCGGGAGCGCAATTCCCCAGGCGGAGGTGCTGACGAGAACTCCGGACTGTCTTCTCCACGAGTTTACACGCAACCTACCCACCTTACGGGTAACCTGGATTTGGTGGTGTGCAATGAATTATCGGACTCTGCTGGAGGAATCGCACAATCCCGAAACAGCCTCTCCCAGCTACAACAATGAATAATCCGACATAATCAGTCTAGAACGGTACATACCGGCGAGTTTGGTCGAAGCGGTGTTTCAAAACACCGTCCAAGACTCTCAGTGATTGGTGTGGAGACAGAAGACTCGCAGTTCCTCGGTCCATGCGAGAGGGAAAGGCAAGTAGAAAACAAATAAGGAAAAGGAAATATAAAGGAGATATTGGATGGATTTCTCGTGTTAAATGGTGGTGAAAGAGGGAAGAGAGTACTCGTGCAGAACAAGACAATCTGTGAACATTGATTACACTGCAAAATGGAGCAACTCATCACCCCGATCAAACATCTAAAGCAGCCCTTGCAGATCGGCCCGCTGAAGCTTCGAAACCGGTTTGCCATGTCCTCGATTTCTCGGAATAGGTGTGTCTCAATTTCAAAGTGATGGTTGCAGGGTGTCAAACCCGACTCACGCGCTTCAGATCCGACAATACGTACCCAAACGAGCTGAATGGCGAATACTTCTACCAGCGCGCTCTCGGGGGTGCCGGCCTGATCGTCGCCGGAGGAGCCCTCATCGAGCCGCAGGGGACGCCGATGCGGGAAACGCCTCAGATCGACACGCACGAACACATGCTGGCGTGGAAAAAGGTCGTCGACAAGGTGCACACGGTGCCCGGGTCGGTGTTTTTCTGTCAGCTCTGGCACTGTACGGTCAGATCACTTGTTATTAAGCGTCCAACGAGCTAACTCGGAAGATGTACAGGCGGTCGCATGACATACGCGGACGCAAAGATCCAAAAGGACTATGGGCGACCGACCATCGCCCCGAGCGCGATCCAGGCGCGCATGGGAGTCGCACCCGACAACGACGGCGTGTATGATCTCGAGCCAGGACTCGAAAAAGGGTATTCCACGCCGACGGCCATTGAGGACCCGAAAGCGGTGGTCGAGCAGTTCCGGCGATCGGCCATTTTTGCAAAAGCCGCTGGATTCGACGGCGTCGAGTTGCATGGCGCCAATGGGTATCTGGTAGCACAGGTCTGTTTTTCACACTTGGGGGCCAGCTTTCTCTCCGTGGCTGACGCACTCACTCAGTTTCTCGACGACGGCGCCAATATTCGGACGGACGCATATGGTGGATCAGTCGAAAATGTGAGTCTCGAGATTTTCCGACGGTGGATGTGACAAGGCACCAACTCATATATTTCACAGCGAGCAAGATTCTGTCTAGAATGCATCGACGCCTTGATCGATGTATGGGGCCCGTACCGCGTCGGCATCAAGCTGTCTCCCGCCGTCGGTCGAGGCGATCTGGGCATGTTCCCGGTCGAAAGACAGATTGAGCAGTTCACGTACCTGATCAAGGAACTCGACAAGCGGCCGTTGGCATACATCAACCTGGTCCGATATCTTGGTACGTTCCCCCTTCCCCCAAAGATCCCCACGTCCACAAAGCCTATTGAAGCTAATGTGTGCGGCAAAAGAGTTCATGGACATGGAAGTCGACGGCAAGATGCGCGGGCCCAAGCACCCCGTGTGGGCGACGTATCGCCACCTGATCAAGAACGCCAAAGTGTTTCTCAACGGCGCCATCTCGCTAGTCGAGGCCGAGGAGCTCCTCAAGGACGACACCGGCGACGTCATTGTCTTTGGGCGTCCGTGGCTAGTCAACCCGGACTTTGCCAACGCGGCCATGGCGGGCAAGGAGAAGGAAATCACATTCGACTTTAACTTCGACGTGAGTCCTCCCCCTCAATTGATTCGTGGATGGTATACTGATCCAGGACGGGGCTAGTACTTTGCGCAATATCCGCCGGGGAACCCGGCCAAGGGATATATCGATTATCCTTTTCTCACTACAGACTACAAGGCTCCGCAGCTGGCGGCGAAGATTTAAGCGTGAGAAGCGACAGCAGAGTATGGTTAGAAGACAGAGAAAAAGGGATTTTGATGGTGATGGTGACGGCGACGTGGCATATGTCAATGCAATAGTCTCTGTAGATATCATCCACAACTCTAGTGCCAGTATCTCATGGAATGCTTCCCCCATAAAGTCTTGTTTCTTCACGATCGTAGCTTTGATCTCGTCTTCCCAACCTTACATTCTCATGGAACTGAGCTGCATGCCCTGGCATATCAGTGAAGCATCACGATCTTACTGCTCCCGTAACAAGACATCCTGGATGGAACAATAAGTCAGAAGAAAAGACAGAAGATACCTATGTCCCTCCCACCCATTCTCTCTCATATCACGATACGAATCGACAGAGTTGAGCAGATAAGGACTCGCGGTGCCGCTATTGATGATCCCGCAAAGGACTTTCGTGCATAATCAGCCCAGTGGTATTAGTCCTTGAAAGCACAGATCGATCGACATATAGCCACGAAGATTTACAATGATTTGTAGCCGTGACAAATGAAAGGTAGACCCCTCAGAGTTCTATCTCGAAGTACACCGAGGAGGCCGGGGTCCTTGAAAACCGTCCTAGCCCGACCGGGCCTTGACAGACAATGAAATATAAATAGCTAAAAATAACCCCTGTGAAATCCACAATTCTTTAGAGATACAGATTGGTCTCTCTATCGTCTCAGTACCTCCACTCACCAAGTCGAAAGGACACACTACCTAATACAGAACTCGGCGCCTTACAAGGAAGCAAGCACACCCGTCCCAGAATGGGGATCGAAGCGAACAACCACACGGCTCAAATCGCGGCCTTGACCGAGAAGGTGGCCCAACTAGAACGCCGCCTACAAGAGCAAGAAGATATCGAAAGCGTCCGACGCCTGATCGACCACTACACGGCGCTGCACGACCTGGCCTTCCAAGACCCGCAGGCCCTGCAGGAATGGGAGAACCTGTTCACCGAGGACGCGCACGTCAAGTACGCGTTCGGCGAGCACTTCGGCCGCAAAGGCCTCGGCGCCTGGGCCTGGGGCCCCGAGGTGGCCCAGTACGCCCAGTGCCACCTGCAGAGCAGCAACTTCGACATGAGCTTCAGCGCGGACCGGCGCGTCGCGCACGTACGCTCCAACGGCATCACCACCTGGCTGTACCGGCGCGACGAGCTGGATCGGCACTTTGACGCCGGCGCCGTGTATCGCTGGACCATGAGGCGCGAGGAGGACGGGACCTGGGCGATCTGGAAGATCGATCTGTATTGTGCGTGGAAGTCGGGGGAGGATTTGAATGGTGTTAGTGGAGGGAAGTAAGCTTCAGTAAGGGAGTGAGTGAGTGAGTGGCCGAGTGACTTGAGTGACTTGGGAGACAGGACAGGGAAGGTCATTATATCCAGGGGATTTTAAGAGAGGGAAAGATGAGATATTCCAGGTGACAGAGCCACAGGGACCAGCCATGCGTTGTACATTCACATCAATGCTCTCCTCTCTGTCCACCAGACAGTGTAAATACCAAGCCGATACCCAGAGCACGGGGATTTTATATTCGGGACATACATAGATACCATCGTCTTCCGCAAAACCACCCTGCCATGCCTTGCCACGCCATTTTCCGATGCAGATCCCCCAGAACTTCTCTCGTTGCTTCCAGCATACAACGGTGGTGAGGCTGTTCACGGCATACGAGATTCCGGGCCCCATAGCCATCGTCTCGAAGAATGCCTGCTTGTCAGGACTGTCCAAACTTCAGTCGGCAAACTGAATGCCGCGTGGACCGAAGCTTTCCGCCCTGAGAGGTTAGTCGCGACGTTGGGAGCGGGGGCGGGGTTGGACGCGGACGCGGGGGACAAAGAGGAGATAGGGGGAAGAGAAAAGTGACAGATTGTTAGCTGAAATGGGTCAATTCAGCGAATAATAGTAGTAATCCTTACGGTACTTGGTTTCTATCTTTGTGGTGGAGACGTTGTCCAAATTAAATCTATTAGGCTTGTCTCGGTATCCACCACCGGATCCACTTCCCCCTTTTCCTCAGCCTCGCTCTCTTCCACCTAGACAAGATGGACCTGGTGCCAGATATCACGTCGACGGATTTTCTCGCAACCACATCAAGTTTTAGAACCTCCAACACGCCCTGTGTGAACTTAAACGCGGGACTTCTCCATGTGCTTGGCCTTGTCCTTGAATGCGTCCATTTCCACGATATACGAGGACTCAGCCTCGTCCTGGCTGTGCACATCAAGATGTACCTCGTGAGCGTCGTGGTCGACCGTGATATCTGCTGCGTGAACCGCGACCGCATCCCCGAAGATCTCAGCCAGCTCCTCTAGCGCAATGCCTTTCGTTTCGGGCACGAAGAAGTAGACCCACACCAGACCACAAGCGGTAACTGCGATGAAAAGCTACAACGGCACTATTAGACAGATGAAGGCGGACACGGAAGGCTTGTACAAAACTTACCAGGAAGAATCGCCAGTGGATGTGTGTAAAGGCTGTCGGCGCCACCTGCAGATAAACCAAGTTCGTCAAGGCGTTGGCCGTATAGGCGACCGTGCTGCCTTTTGCCCGTAGATGATTCGGGAAGATTTCGCTGACAATGATAAAGACACACACGTCGCCGCAGACAGCATAACTGGCCTGGAACAGGAACAGCATTGCCGCACCGGTCGCCAGGCCGGCTCTGTTCGTGCCTGCTGCACCGTAGAGAGCAATCATGGTCGTCTCAACAGTGACGCACATCAGGCACATGCTGAGGCCAACGAGCAGCAAAGTTCGACGGCCAAAGTGGTCGGCGAGCGCTGATCCGATGACGTTGAAAACGGGCGAGACCGTAATGTATCCAGCCTGGAAGCACAGTTGAGTATAGGCATCATAGCCGAGATTGCTCCAAAGAGTTGACCCCTGATTCATTCTGTTAGGAAAGGAGAGACAATAGCACTGGGCATCGGTGGGCTCACATAGTTATTGATGACCAAGTTCCCTGTGCTCTGAGACAGAAATGCTAGGCCAATAGCAATGACCACCCGCCGACGAACCGAGGGCTTGGTGTAGAACTGCTTCCAAGACGCGTCGCTGTTCATGTCGAGCTCTGCCTGCTTCTCCATCTGGAAGAATTCCGCTCGGGCAAAGTCCTCCTGTTTCCCCCGGCCGTGCTGCCTCAACATAATTTTCAGTGAAGCATCTTTCTTGCCTTCCATGAGGAGGTGTCGAGGCGACTCGGGAACAAAGAGGTAGCCGAATGTGAGCACCACCGGGAATACCGTGCCGAGAGCGATAGGAACGCGCCACTGGACCTCGTCCGAGACATTGTAGAATGCAACACCAAAGTAAGATGAGATGGCGAATCCCAATGCACACAAAGCTCCATTTAGGCCAACATACAACCCTCGAAGAGCCGCTGGGGCAAGCTCGGCGCAGTAGACGATCATGACGGTCATGAAAGCGAAGCCGGTCGCCCCCGTAAAGAAGCGAAGAGCGATAAACATGCCCACATTCTGAGATGCGGATATGATGGCTGAGCTGATGATGCCGACGATGCCAATGTAAATCGACGTCCGCTTGCGTCCAATCTTGTCCGCCAAATAACCACTAATGATGATACCGAAGACACCGCCAGCCTAGTAGTCATTGTCAATACTAGGATCCCAACAGTTGCAGGGGCAGAACTGTGTATACCTGGAACACGCCAGTCGTTGCCCCTATCAGTCCAGGAGCATTCGCTGTTTGGTTACCATCAGCATCGATGAGGCCCATATATGATAGGAATGAGGCCTTTGTAAGGGTAGTCCCGATGATACCCGCAAAATACCCATAGACTAGCGAGCCTAGGGCGAGGAGAAAACAAGTAGAGAAATTGAGCAAGTTGAAGGCTTGCTTGCTGCTTGTGATGACTCCGGCTTCGACCGTCATCTTGATTTCACCTAGGTCCTGGTGTTTGAACAGTCTTGAAGGGTGTTGGGGAAGTGAACTGGTTGATGTATTGCTGAGTAGAGTTTGTTGCGATGGTATTTAAGAGTCTCGAACTCCATACCGAATTTCTAGCCCTGATGTTCGGTATGTAGAAGCGCCTGTGTCTGCTGCTGTCGATCCCTATGCTGAAACATGACGACTCTGCTCGGCGTGGGAATGCCGTGGCGCGTGTGCCTACAGATTGCCCGTTTTCTCCAGACCTTTGAACCCCGGATATTGCAACTCCGCATTCGGCTTTCTGGAGGTATTGGAGGTGGGGATGACTATCCGGTGTCGAGGACTTCCCTTTTGTTTAGAAGAGGTGCAGCATCCGATGAGACGTGTATTCCTGGGACTATTCCTTCTTTGACTCTCTTTCAGGTGAGCACGGTCGTAAGCTCCCCCCTTTTCCAATTGTAATGGCCGTGAATCCCTGCATATTCGCGTATACAGTACCTTGTGGCGTGAGAACGAGGTAAAACCTGACAGAGCAATAATGATTAGTTGTGCATCACCCGTCAATCTCGGACTCTGTATCGCCGGAAGTCAAGGTCAGAATACGAGAGGATGACAACGCAGAAAATAGATTTCGAATGGGACTTGGGGGGACAGAGAGTGGCAGCGCTGTCGGCCGGCGAGCTCTCCTGCTGATGTGGCTGTCGACCATCGGGGGGAACGATGTAGATGTTCTACCACAAGGGATTGAATTGAATAAGAGACTGTGGCTCGAAGATTGGAGATACTGGACCATCGAGGAGGTTGTGGAGGTTGAGGTCTAGCTGGAATCAGAAGAATGTGTGCGGCTGCTGCGCCTGCGCATCTGGCACCAGCCATGGGAGCCTATTGGTCTTGGCATCTCTCTGCCCACAGTTGGCTGAGAGCTGGTCTCTCTCGCTCAATTGGCCCCAGCAGTCAATATCCTCCAGTTCACCCAACAAGAGGTCAGAGGCAGCGAGACGCCACTGAGTTCAAGCACTATTGACGCTCTTTAGGACTTATCAATCACGCCACAATGCCAGAAATGATCGCCAACGAGGCCATTCTGTTCTCCCGCGATGAATTCCTGTTCGGCGACCTCTATTGCCTGCGGCGGTGTCTACTTCCTCTAGCTCGCCTTCAATGCCCCCTCAAAGTCTTCTAGAAATCTCCAATAGCATTTCTCGCGCCACCCTTTCGCCTTCCAGTCATTTGCTGCGGCGGGAAACAGGTCGACAATATCTCTGATGGTGCTGTCATGCGCGTATATGAAAAAGACATTATCCACGGCATCTGCATCTTGAACCTTCTTGATGGTCCGCACGGTTTCAGGAATGTCATAGCCTATACTCGGATCGAAGAAGGGTTCGTCTGGTGCTCGCGACCGTTTCTTCTGAATGAGCTCGAACTCGGCACCGGGGCAGATACAACCAGGATACTGGATCAGATTGGGCAGGTAGATCTCTCCCGGCAGAGGTAGGCTCTTTGATGGACGCAGCTCGCCGCCGTGGTGGCAGAGATCACCACCCATCATAACAAACGTGTCCGGAGTGGTCCGTGCTAACCCTGCCAAATGCCCGATCGCATGGCCAGGCGTATCTAGAAGATAGAAAGACCCATCCCCGAAGAGGTCGAAGGCTCTGAACTGCCCGATCTGCAGGACATTCGGCTCTTCAAAGGTGATCTCCCGTACTTCCCGACCCCTACAGGAGAAAGAGATTGAGTTCACAGCACTACTCTAATTCTGAGACGACTTACTTGAAGTCGCTCTCCCGTACAGGAGAGTCTGGCCTGGCCGGCCAGCCTGGAAAGAAGGCGTCTTTGAATCCTGGACCAACGACCAACTCGGTGGACGCAGGGAACGTGGAAGGATCCCCTATATGGTCATAATGCCAGTGACTTTGTGTCGACACGTCAGCACCAACGAGCTGAGGTCTTTAGTGACGTGTTTCTCTCACCTCCAGATGATGCTATTGATGTTGGCAATGTCAATGCCTTGGTCAGCCAGAATATCAGCCACGTGCTTCTCTCCAGAAGGCTCACCCCAGCCTCGGGTCTGCAGCGGCTTTGCCACGACGGGCGAAAACTCTCTCCAATTCGGCGGAACGCCCAGGTCGAATAATGCTTTGCGGCCCGTGTTGCTCTCAATGAGGAATGCCCACGTGGGAGCGTCGGGCAAGACTTCCATTCCAGGCATCGGCGGTGTCATGAGATAGTCCATGGGGAGACCTTTGATCTTAGTGGTCGTGTCGATGATTCGCAGCTGGGCCACGGCCCCATCTGGCACAGTGAACTTGTTGCTGGGAGTCATCTTTGGCGATCCAGGCGAAGAGGGCGGCACTGATGCAGAAGCACTGCTTGATTTAGAGGGCAGGCTGGTTCTTGGGGGCCTT